AATATTCACTCTTCATGGGTGCATAAGGCGCACTGTTGACTTGACTTTAGTGCAAAGCACGCTTGCATAGGTATGAGCATGTTAATACGAACACGAGTAATTGACAACTGTACAAAAATATTGCAAATTTGCCAATAACGTACAAGATCTGTGTACGTATAAAGTTATGTTGCAATTGTTTTAATTTGTAAACGTAACGCTATAGTTTATTATATTCAGTTTGCTCGACTACATGAGAAGAGTTCAAAGGAATAGTCCGATTTCGTGGATAGGCACACAAAATGTGTTTAATGCCAAAGTGTTTAACCGAGGCGGCATGTACGGAATAGATTGCGTGCCGTTACTGCGACACTTGGGGTTGCTTGTTCATGTACGCCTTACGGATGCGACTGGAATACCGATACATCTATGGAATTGCTAGAAGGAAAGCGGCACGTGCGTAAACCGGCGCAACGTTACCAGGACCTTATCAGGATAAATATGTCACGAACTTACCTTGAGTTTAGATGGGGGAGGCAGTGGCATTAGCTTGCCGCTAATACGGTGACCACAGGAAGCACGCTGTTGACCAGTTGCAACAGAAAGTAGTGTTACCGTAGGAGGAACTTCCGTTGCGGAAGCAAAAGATTTCGAAGGGGCATGGTCCATCGTCATGGTATATCTAGAACTGTAGCACTTACGTTTCTGTGTCCAGCCCAGCCGGTCTATTAAGTCATCAACATGGCCATGAGTGGACACAATCCAAGGGTTTACGGGTAGGTTAAATGAGTAATTATCGGCGTATTGTAATTACGCTGCTTCCAGTTTCCTTTACTAACCGAGGTCGATAATGTGGTCGATGTAGCACAGCTGCTACATCATTGCTGCAACTAGTCTGTGCATGCACCTGCTTGTATTGGAGCGTATTTGACAGCATTTGCTGACCAATAACCCCAGTGCAGATGGGCTTGGTGTGAATGCTAGCAAGTTGATTGCCTGTCTAAAACCCCCACCATGTTTACTGGCTCTAGGAGAGCGTTGATCGTTGCTGGGGTGGCGGAGTGCACATTTTTCATGACAGTGCAATGTGTAAAAGTGGTTCCATCCAGTGTGTAAGAAGGTCCGTGACCCAGCCATAAACCTGCGGGATTCTTTTAGCGTCAGGCATGCTTTTTTGTCCAAAGCCCTATCCACCCAAAGCATCATAATGGTATAACTTTTATCCGCATATCTTTCGATTTTTTCGACGAATTTTGCCCATCTTACTAAAGATAACTCTACATTTATTCTTCACTATTCAAGATTGCTTAGTTTCCGAGCACTGGGCGAAATTCTTCAACCATACACTGAACTGGACTTTTCAATTTCCCTATTATCATCCGTTCCCTCTGACTTACGTTGTTTTTTCCATACACATCTGGATCAGTTTTATTTATGCGGGATGCTCGCAACTTATCGAAGCCGTGGCATTCGACCACATGCATCTTGCGTGACTCTTTTCTCGCGTGTTTGCTGCGAGCTAACCCAAGGTTTGGGCCTGTATTCATTCATGGCCATGCTTTTTCCTTGTCTTCGCGTAGGAACCTACATGTTTGCTACTAGGAGGAAGTATGTTTTTTCTTGTTTTAAGTTGGACCTACCTCATAGAGTACCGAAGACGCGTCAACTTGCCTTCACTTAAGTGAACTGAAGTTCAATTCCGTAGAGCAACTGCGATCCAGGCACCGAAGTGCGGTGGATCCAGGTGCCACAACTCGCATTGCAAGATAGTGGGATTAAAGGCAAATGGAATATAAACAAATGGAACCCAGAAGAAAATGCGTTAAACTATTCAGAATGGAACGAATACTAACAGTTGTATGCAAGAACGCGAATGCATGGACGTCGCTGACTGCGCGTCTGCGCCATGTCTGATGCTGTTTCCGAATATTGGTAGGTACACCCCGTGGCCCCCATCCGGGAAGACGGCACGCACCAGTTTGACTGTCTCTCACTCAATTTCTTCATACTTCTGTGCCTCGTCATGGACTAACCACTTCGTGATTTCGTCTAACTTGGTACAGCCACAGCATGTAATGCACGTCGAGGAAGTCGGTCAACCGATGTACGATTAATATTCAGCAAACATTTGAGTGAGAAACCGGTAGGTTTCTTGCCAGAACTACCCGTTGGACTTTAGCATTGCTCTCCTGGGGTTCCCGCCAGACGTGAGCAATACTCCGCAGGCAGTGGTGTTCACACATGGCCATGCGTTTAATTTATTCGCCGCAATCTGGACTGGTTTCTGAGGCTTATAGTAAGAACGGCCTTACGGCAGCATTGTGCACTCCACCTTTCACTAACAGGCTGATATCCCGCCTTTTCCATAGATGGTTGAGTCTCTGGAAAGCCACACGACTCTTGCTGAAACGCGAAGTAACTTTCCCAGTGATATTACCACAAGAGGTGACACAGCTACCAAGGTAAGTGAACCCATCTATCACTTTCAGTGGCTGTTCGGTGATTGCTACAACCGGAAGTGTGTCGGTCCAGTCCTGCAGGAATAGTTTACCCTTCAAAGGTGCAAAGCATGTGCTGAAGCATGCAGCGCTACGCACCAGTCTATCCAGCAGTGTCTGCATAGCCATGGCGTCAGAGTCAAGAAGAACTATGTCGTCCGTATACGCTAGGTTTGTCATTCGGTTACCTGACAGAACTTTTACTCCAGTAGACTGAAAGAACAGAGTCACTCATAAACATTTCGAAAGCAAGGTTGAAGTGGAAAGAAGATAAAGGGCAACTCTGGCGAGCCCCACTTGTTGTGGGGAACTCAGGAGACAGTTTCCCGTAGATCCTTACACGGACTCGGGAGTCACGGTAGAAATACTACATAATGGAAAGGAATGTAGCCGGAACGCCGTTCATGGATAGACAATACCACAAGCTGGCGTGGTCAACAAGGTCGATGGCAGCTTTCACGTCAAGGAAAACCACCATAGTCGCTCGTCTGTATATCTGTCTGTTATTAAACTTGGACAAAAGTAAATATGTAGTCGATACAGTTGGGACCAGAGTGAAAGCCAGCTTAATTTTCAGTGATTCGGTTCTCACGGGGAGCAGTAGGCCCTCGGAGAATGATACCCGTGAGACGTTTGGATCCAACATAAACAAACCTAAGACCTCGATAATTTTTACACGAAGTACATTGACTCTCCTTGAAGATTTGCACGATAGTTGTCAGTCGCCATTCTGAAGGCACCTCTTCAGTGCTCCAAGCCGTGTTAAATAGAGGAGTCCAGTCAAAAAAGAGTGACCACCATCTTTTAGCAAAGATGAAGGAAGGTCGTCGGGTGCCGGAGCCTTGTTTCGTTTCAACAAGGAAAACTTAAGTCGAATGTGTGACATCCACTTCCAACGTCAGGTCAGGCTATTCGTTAAGTGGCAGTGTCGCCCCAGGCCTGTTTAACTTCTCTTCAAAATATTCCACCCATCGGGCTATTGACGACAGAATGGATCACCTGTCCGTCTTTCTCAGCTTTTGTTTCGCTAACTGATGCATTTCCCTGAACCGTGTTACGGATGAGCTGGAATAGCACTCGGCTGTTCCCAATAGCACTAGCTTTCTCCGTCTCATGAGCCCCGGCCATCAACCAACCTTCCCGGTCGATTCGATGGCTTCTTATCAGACGTATTTTCAGAGATTTACGGACATACTGAAGCTCATTGCCCATCGGAACTTGTTTCCGTGGTTCTATCAAGCTGCTCAATGCCTCAGAGGCCCATTCACTGTTATAGCTTCTCAATTTGGATGCGCAACATGCATCAAAGACATTCTTCATGACACGTTTCAAACGATTCCAGTCAGCATTAGGTTCACCAACTTCATTCATCACTGACATTTGGTGGACTAGTTCGTCGTGATCTTGTTGAACCGCGGACTGCGAATTCAAGTTACAAGTAATAAGATTAGAAGATAGGCACTTCTTTGAAACATACAGAATGAGCGCCATACGTGCAAACATTAGATCATGGTCGGAATCCAATCATGTGCTCCAAATTGACCGATACTGATGTGCGACATCTGTAGCTGATGGGTCAAGGTTGAATTGTGTTGACAGCACACTAATAGAAACTACAATCTCAAGCGCCTTAGACATATTTACACCATTCCGATTACGCCTGTTGACATTTGGCCGTAATGGGCCACCGAGGCTGCACTATTTTATAAGAGCTTCAGCTCATCAAGGTAAAGAACCGCAGGTGGTTGGTAAGTTAAGCAAGATGTTTAAATATACTATAGAGAATTACAGCTAATTGTGCTCTATGAACCACTAAAATGATAAAACTGTCCAAATAGTTATCGCGTAATGAAACTCATTGACGCAGTGCATTTTCCACACAAATTAGTAGTGATACTCTCGTTTTACTTTTCAACGGCTCATCCATTAGTAAGAAACCGCATTCCGCTCTGAGGAACCTAGCAAAGAACGCAAGTACTGGCGTGCGTGTTTTGCTTGTAGAAATGTTGGTTACAACATTGCTTCGCATTGGTCTTCTTTTCTTTCACTTTCCTGAACACTTTTTCGCACTAGGCTTACGTGTTTGCAGAGTGTATTAACTGTTTGTATACGGCAGCGACTTAGTGACTTTAATAGACAGTTTAGTGCACATGATCTTCGGCTGGTGACCGGGGCAATTAGGGAAGTAATACTGCTGGCTATTTTAATATTGCGACTCCGAATGTTGCAAATCACGACGGTAGTAGTGGCGGTTGCCGTTACTGTCCCCCTGTTTCTTAACAACAAACACCTTATCCACGTAAGCAGCTCAATTTCACAAAGTTAGACGCAGCTCTTCGAGCGTAGCATCGGAGTCTCAATGTATGCATAATCTTTGTAGCTAATATTTTATGCTATAGACAATGCACACGTGAACATAGTAACATCTTTCCAAATGTCATTTAACTAAGATTAGACTATTTTTAGAGCCATCTACATTTCACCAAACTTACTCCAGCGATGAATTTTTTAATTCCTGTGCAGGATGAATCGGTTGGAACCGACGGAGTATAACTTTGTTCCTAAAACATGGGTTCTTCCTCAAGATCAAGGATATCTCTTCAACTACATCAAACGAACTATCGGCCTCGGACAAAGACCCACTTTTATCATGAAACCAGCCAATGGAGCCATGGGGCACGGGTAAGACCTCTTTTCAACACCTAATACTTGCACGCGCGATATTTTCTAGCATCTTAGCTCTTAGTACGGAAGCAGCCTGGAACGATGGTTTCTTTCCATAAGATTAAACTGCTCCCGGTAATTTTGGATGGAAAGTTTAGTTATCAAACATCAATCTCAGTGTTTCCAGCAATTGTGGGCACGTGGCTGACTAACAAACGTACAGTCACTTAGCAAACATGCAAACCTAGCTGTGAATAGGTTTCCTATACGACAAACCACCATCGCGTAGCATAGATGTCTCAAACGGTAAACGGCAGAAGCAAACGCTTTCTTGTTTTCTACTCACCATTTTGAGCCTCTTTTATGTTTTTGGAGTTTTTATGTTTTATTTGCTAATTACTGATAATGCGGTTGAACAACACTCTCGCCATCTGTCTGTTGCGCGCCATAATCTCCAGCGTCTCCAACCACTGGCACTCCTAGTCGCGTGGTCCCCATCCTGGAAGGCAGACCGGTCCGATGCGGGCTAAGCTTAAGGTTGCCTTCTTCATGCTCCTTCTCCATGTCATTGGTTGTCCACCGCGGCACTTTCTCCACTCGCTTCCTGGGAACGCAAACAGCGCCCGACGTGAGGGCGATAGCCTGGCATGCTTATTACGTAGCCGAGTCAACGCCTGGGATATCGGAGCAAAACAGTTTGGAGGCCTGGGCTATTTGCTCCATGAACTCGCGCTCGGATTTCTCTGTTACTTGCATGATACTGCCATCACACACGACCACTCCTACGCAGACAGCGATTGTCAAAACGGGCAATCGTTGGATAAATAAATAAATGTTTTATTCCCGGCGGTGCGGGTTACGCCTGCGAAGGCATGATCATGATAATGCAAACAAGTGTGGTTGGTAGTCTTTTAAAAATATAGCAAGTTAAGCAGTAACATACTGAATTTGTGTCTGTATATATGTACCTGTATGTGTTAATGGCGGGCGAGCCTATGGTGCGCTGAGGCTGGTGGTGACCAGACCCTAACAGATGGTCTACCCACTGTTGGCTCATGTCCTGGACGTCTCCTCGTGGCGACCGCTGGGTGGGAGTTGGGTTTCGCCCTTCTCCCTGCTAACATCCAGGACACCAATCCGCATGAGTCAGTGAAGTGACCGTGTGCTAAACCCGCTGCCTTTCGGGTGTACATTTAATCGAAGGCTTTGGCTGAAGACCCAAGTCGTTCGCCTGTCAGGTGTGTGCGCCATGGCAGTATCTTAGTCCATCCTCTTCGGAGATTAGGAACTGGTCGATGGCTCTCTTCCCGTAAAACCTAACCATGGAAGACAACAGGTCTACTGGTTATAACCTCACAGCTCGATTGGCGTAGAGCACGAACGCCACGCATTGTTTCTGACTGTGGGATGGCACCTCCGGGTGTTCAATGGTTTGCTACTGCCCGCCTCAAGCCAGGCAACCTTTGGTCAAATTGGTGCAAACCCGCCAAAACCCACCTGCGTCTGGCCGTGGTCGCAGGTGTGTCCTACTACGGTCACAAAACATATATAAATCGTTGCAGTACCTCAAAGGCTGCATGTGACAGCCGTCAAGCAGATCCCAATCTGTCTCTGCAATCACATTCCCGAGCTGGATCTGCTCCACATTGCCTTGTGGGTCAGGCTATTGAGCCAAAGTCTCCGGGTGGAGTCCCTCAAGCAAACCTCCGAAGCACAACGACCACCTCGCGTGCGATTGCTCGCCAATGCAATCGTATGCCTGCGCGCAAAGCACTCAGCATGGGGTGTTGGAACGTGCGGACACTACTGGACCGGAACTCCAGTGAGCGTCCCAAGCGACGCACTGCACTGGTCGCGGTGGAGCTGTCGCGTTACCACCTCGATATTGCGGCGCTCATTGAGACTCGGCTCACTGAGCAAGGTAAGTTGCATGAAGCAGGTGTTACTTACACATTCTACTGGGTGGGCAACGCCGCCTCAGCACCACGTGATCATGGGGTCGGATTTGCAATATCCGATCGCCTCCATGGCCAGCTGCTGGGTGAACCAACAGGTATCAGCGCGGGACTGATGACTGTTCGCCTACGACTCGGGAGAGGTAAGTTTGCCACTTTTATAAGCACGTACGGTCCGGCCATGTGTTATCCTGATGACACGCGTGATCAATTCTACACCAGCTATCCTCCGTGATGCGGTCTGTGCCGAGGAGCGACTATTTCTGCTGGGTGATTTCAACGCGCGCGTTGATTGTGGTGCATCGGTGTGGACAGATGTTATTGGTTCAGGGAGTGCGAACGGTGACAGGCTGCTCTCACTGTGTGCCACTCACGGCCTGAGGATCACGAACACGGTTTGCACTGATTGCGAGTGATATAGCAACTTGGACGCACCCCCGGGGTGGTCACGCTCACCTGCTCGATTATGTTATCGTATGTCAGCGTGATATGCGTGAAGTGCGCATGACACGTGTACTGCGTGGAGCTGAGTGTGGCACTGATCACAAATTGGTGCGGACCAAACTGTACATATATTTTCGTAAATCTATGTATTGCACTCCCGCCGTGAATCGGCGTAAATTTAACATTCTCTCCCTCGGTACTGTGGCGAAACGTACTGAGCTGGAGAAGGCGATGGCTGCACGCCTGTGTGGTGATGTGGACTGTATAGCCACAGTGGGCAACCTGTGGCACCACATTCGCGACCAGATGACAGCTGTTACCAAGGAGACCATCGGGCGCACAAACTGTAAGCGGCCTGATTGGTTTGATGAGAACAATGCGACGATTGGCGCATTGGTGTCAGAGAAGAATGCAGCATTTGCTGCACATGTGAATGACCCCATTGACTGGGGGAAGCATAGTCAGTTACGTAAACTTCGACGGCGACTGACCCCGAGAGTTTCGTCGCATAAAAAATGCATGGTGGAAGGAGTAGACGAAGCAGATGGAATGCTACGCCGAACGCCGCCAACACAAGGAATTCTTTGATTTCTTGCAGACGTTGTATAGACCGATGTTGGAGGCGCTGAGGACGCTGATCGGTGATAGCTCAGGCACTACCTGCAGACAATGCAGATCTGGTAAAAACACTGACTGTCTCTTGGATAAGCGTTCGGATATTGATTGGCGTACATTGAACGACCTGAAACAGCACGATGTGGAGGCGAGTATGACAGACACACCGACACTGGATGAGACGCAGAGAGCACATGCTCAGCTGCGAAGCTGCATATGTGCTGGGGCCGACGGGATCCCGCCTGAAGTATTGAAACACGACAGACCGGCTTTGGTGACCGCGCTGCACCACTTGGTGCAAAAGGAGGCATGCGATGTTGCACGAATTATCGTGGCATCAACTTGCTGAGTTGTGTGGGCAAGGTTATTGCCCGAATCCTGCCCCACCACCTCTTCAGTCAGCTTGTGGAATCTAACGTGGTGGAAGAGCAGCGTGGATTCCGCTGGGGTCGCAGCACTATAGATATGGTGTTTGCGGCTCGTCAGTTACAGGAGAAGTGTAGAGAACAACACTAGCAGTCGTACTGACTTTTTATTGATTTCACCAAGACATTTGATACGGTGAACCCCGAGACATTGTGGCTGGTGTTGGATAAGTTTGGTTGTCCGCGTAAGTTTGTTAGTTTAATTGAATGTCTGCACAGTGGTATGCGAGCGAGGGTGCAGCTGAGTGGACAGACCTCGGATGACTGCAGTTATTTCTAATGTAGAGCAAGGCTGTGTGTTAGCTCGTGCCCTGTTTAATGTTTATCTTCATGCAATGATGTCTTGTGCTTTTGATGCCGCCTGTGCTTGCGGTGTTCGTGTGGAGCACCGTACTGGTGTTGGTTTGCTGAACATCCGTCGTTTCGGTGCGAGAAAACTAGGCTGTGAGACAACTATCCGTATGTTGCCTTTTGCTGACGATTATGCGTTGTTTGCACACAGTGCGGATGAGTTGCAGCACATGACTACTGCTCTGGCCTCGACAGCAGCCAAATTTGGACTCATCATCTACACAAGCAAAACTGTTTGTCTCTTTCATCCTTCACCGGAGGTGCAATCTGCAATGGTGTCGCGAATCAGCATTGGTGCTGAAGTATTAGAAACCACCTCACGCTTCCACTACCTTGGGGGTGTGATGTCGACTGATCCTTCGGATCCTTCGGATCCGCTTCTCGAAGGCAGCGGCGGCATTCGGGAACCTAGAGTGCCGAGTGTAGAACAACCAGCAGATTACTCTTAGCACGAAGCTGATGGTGTACAAATCCATGGTGCTGTCCGTTCTTCTATACAGCAGCGAACCTTGGATGATGTACCGACGGCATGTGCGATATCTCGAGCGGTTCCAACAACAGTGTTTGCGACAGATTCTGTGCATCGGATGGGGCGACAGAGTTGCTGACACGGAGGTTTTGCGACAAAGTGGAACGTATGCAATGGACTACAAACTTTTGCTGAGGCACCTGAGGTGGCTCGGTCATGTGAGCCTTATGGATTCGACGCGGATACCGAAGCAGCTATTATATGCTCAGCTGAGTGTTGGGAAGCGTAATGCAGGGAAACCGAAGTTTCTTTGCCAGGACATGGTCAAAGTGGGCATCTCACGTTCTAATCTTGATTGCAGCTCATGGGAATCGAAGGCGGTTGATCGGGGTTCATGGCGCCATCTGATCACGAAGGCAGCCGAGGTGCAGGAAAAAGACCTCACGCATGCGGGGAAGAAGTGGCAAGTGCAGAAGCAGCAGACGCCGATGGGTTGTACTCCAGCGAGACCGAGCGCATGGTGCTGTAACACATGCGGTCGCGAGTGCCTGAGTCAGGCAGTCCTAGTGAGTCATGAGCGAGGCCATTCGGGGCCAACACCGAAACGACGATAGGTCATGCTGAGAACGTAGGCAGAACCGGCGCAGCGTATGTAGGTACGCTGCGTTCGATTTACTACCCGCTTGCTTGCATGTTAAATCTCTTTACTTCAGGTGGTGGGTTTGGTATATTGTCTCATTCATGTCTATGCGAACTGTC